CTGGACATTCCACTCCAAAAGCCGATGAAAGAGCAAAGAACAGTCAATCCACAGAGATACTTCCTAGAGACCTGCTAAGGACGACAATAAAGGATGGGCAGTTCTGTAATTTTGTGAGATTGACGGTGCAGACACACAACCAGCAGATTCCCTGGTCTCCTGATACGTGGCTTGTGCTCCCTGATCTCTCAGTTGTCATGTACATTTCGGGGCTGGGGGAGCTGGGCTCTCAGTGAGCAGCACCTGCAGAGTAGTGAGGGCCTGGGAGAAGCGATCCCTGGTGACAGACGGTGGGAAGTCTGACCAAACTGGTAACTTCTGTTGCAGCCTCTGTGAACTGCTCATCCAGAAACTCCTCAGCTGTTTGTTAGCTACTGCACTTGAGAACATGACAATCCCTGGTGTTGCTGAAGGGTCTGTTTACTGCTACAACCCTTAATGGGATGCAGCATGTCTCTGCTGCGTGTTCTACCAGCCCGGGCTGCAAAAGGGAGGAGGGTTGGGAGGGAAACAGTCTTCCGTTGTGAATGAATCTGATATATGCAGATGCTGGGGTTTGCCAGTCCCTTCAATATCTCCACACTTTGCCCTATAAAAGCATGTGGAAAGGCTTGATTTATGATTCAGTAGCACTGGCCAGTTCTAGGCATTTCCAGGAGCCTCAAAAGATTCATCAGTAACTTTGTAATGTTTGTTATTCTAATATTGCTGCTCATAATGATGTAAACAATCAAATGGCTTTGAGAGTTTGTGCAGGGTGTCAAGGAAGGAGAGGAAAATATCTGCTCATGCTTTTTATTTGGAGGTGCTCTTCAGGCATGACATTGTAAAATTGGAAGCTTGAGGAATAATCAAGACTGCAATGGATTGCTGCAGATGGCAAAAGATCTCACTGGTCACCACGAGTGAAGGATGTGTCTCAAGCTTCTACTTGTCTCTACTGTGCTTGTTACCTGTTCTCAGCCTTCACAGGTAGAGGTGAAGATTACTTATTTGTTATTTGTAAAGCTGCAAAAAATGTGCTGAGGTGTTCCGGGGAAAGAAAATTAATAGTTTTGACATGGTTTCTCTGCTGGAAGACTTTGCAACCTGATTTAAATATGATGTTCTTTGTGAGCAGAGTGAAGAATAGGAGAAGGGTCAAAGTGCTCAGAACTCGTGGTGAGTTAGTCTGGTGTTTGTGTGTGTATGTCTGTATGTGTCGGTGCTGCTCCTTCTTTTCCATGAAACAAGCATCCAAAACTGAAGAGTTTGGCTAACCCAGGCTATACTCATCCTGACTTTTGAAACAGGAAGTCTGTTCTGTCCATGGCCAGAACAAGATAGTGCATTTGAAAGTAAAATAACCTTTTCTCATCTGTTCACAAGGAATAGAAATTACCATAAAATGTATCCACTTCTCTGGCAACCAAGAGAGGACTTGCTCCCCTACCTGCCATAGGATCTTTCCCATTGTACTTTCTACTGTTTAATGCAGTTTCATGCTCCCTCGTGCATCCAAACTTTTATTCATTACTTCACTGTCCTTCTGATTTCCCTATAACTCCTTTATCCTTTCCCCACCCCACCCCCCACTAGCAACACCCTTCCCTAATTTCTCTCACATGTTTTTCACAAAGTTCACAAGACTACACAGTCCTCACAACACCGTGTCCTCGCTAGTCTTTTCTGACAGGGACTTTTTTCATGTCAGTATGAAAACCATCAGGAGGTGGCAACTACCTTATACATGTAAGCAGGTGTGTTTTCTTGGGAAATGTAATAGGAATTCAGATGTAAATTGCCAACATAGCAATAAAAAGTAAGAAACCCAACCTGAATATCTGACATCCACACAGTACAAGAGTGGAGTGTTTTACATCAATGTGTCAGTAGACTGATCTCATAGATTACCATCTGGGGCTCAAGTGCCTGAGCTGCATTCTCAGGGAACATCTTTTGGTTCAGTTTAATCCAAAATGAAATATATTTCAGGTGCAATTCCATTTTTGTAGGGAAGTGCAGCAAGTATGACTGAGAAATTCACTTCCAAGGCAAATCCTGATCTACACTATGTCTCTAATGTAGACAAATCCAGTATGTCCATCTTCAGTAGAAAGTTGATAGTCTTCACTTACCTCTGAGAAATACTAAAAGTTCTACTATAGAAGGCACTGTAAAATATATTATAGGTTAGTGCTAAAGGTTTCAAGGAACTGTAACTTGCTGGAGTATGTCTTTCGAAACTATAAAACAACTTCTCTTGGAAAGACATTAGAAAGGTTTCTTTTCTGTTTTCAAAATCAAGTGCCTTGTGGCCTGATGGATTTTATTTCCATCCAGAAAACATTGTTTCCCTCTTAGTTAAGCTTATTGTGAATGATCATGTTTTTATGAGACTTAATACCTTCAAACCAAGGAGAAGCTCCAAACATTTCATGAACTACAACCTGGAGGCAGATAAGCTTCAAGCGATGGGTTGCTCATCCCACTTACTTGCTTTTTAGGGCAGAAACAGCCAAACAGGTCTGCGAAGGAAATGTGCTGAGCTCTCAGCTTTCCTGTAGGTAGATTACCTACCATTGTTCTGGTGGAATAACGTGACCTAATATTCCTCCTCTATCTCTCATCTTGGTGAGCTCTGCCTTGTGAACACCCTAGGGACCAGGATCCAGAAGTGAACTGGGAGCTAAGTTATCTTCTGATGTGGTTTTACCAACTGGATCATCTACCCACCAGTAACCCATGTGTGAAAGGGAATTTTTGGAGAAGAAAATTAGGAATGAATATGTTTGAGAATTTTCTGTATTGAATATCTATAGGGCAGGGAAGAAGAAAAATATCTTAGAAGCCAGGATGCTGTAAAGGCAGATGTTTTGGGTTTTATTTTATTAGATTTCCTAGTGGCTTGTTGCTGTCTGTCCAAAGTTTGTGCTAGTCTGTTAATACTCTTAAAAAGCAGTGCAGTGATTCTGCACTGATCTGATTTTGGTGGGTGAGCTAAATGTAATTCAAATATGTTAGTCCAAATTAGTGGTGTTGATACATTTTTTAAAAACTTCTGAACATTCTGTTCCGGCACTCTGTGCAGTCACAAGCTCTCTCAGAAGTTTTGCAGAAATATTGCTTGAGAATGAGGAAGAGCTTGACCTGACCAGCACGGCTTTATCCTAGAAGATGCCATACCAGTGACGAGAAGGGGTTCTTTCCAGCTAGGTGGGAAATTGCAGCTCTGAAGAAAGTCACCACAACGCTTCTTTCCCCTGCCATTCGAGTTGGTAGAAAAGATCTGCATAATTGCTAAGTCTCACAGCCGTCAATGTACTCATAGGGTTATTTTCCAACCTAGGAAGTCCAGTTAGGTGGAAAATATTCCTTTGATTTATGGCCCTGAGATAGTCAGCTCATAAATTAATGTTTCCATTGGCAGCTTCAGTATATGCCTTTTACATTTGAAGGCTGCAGGTAGCAGAGAGTGACAGGAAGGCATCAGACTAAGATGTGTAAAACATACAGAAACTGTGTTTATTTTCCATGTCTCAAGTGAGAAGGCATTTCGCTATGAGTGTTATACCATGGCTCTTTAAATGCTTTATTATTTGCAGACATGACTTGAAAATTATTGAAAGCAAGATTTCTGGGTGACAGCAATTGGTGAGAAGAGGTAAACAATGAAGAGCAATGCAGTTAAGACACAGAAGGTCTTAGATCATTTTAAATAATTGGGCAAAAAGATGACAAATTCAGTTCGGTGCAGATAAATGTAGAATAATGAGCCTCAGAACAAAGAATATAAAGAAAAAAATTGTTAAGTAGGAGAATGCCACAGCTTACTGACTAGCAAAGAGATCTGGGGAGCTAATGGAGAGAAATCTCCTTAATGATCAGGATATAACTGCTCCTGAATGGGTGGAGTCACAGAGGAATAAGAAAAGAGTCAAGAATTGAATTTTTCATAGACATAAAGCTCTCTTAGGTTATCTTGTCCATCCTCTTGCATCAGCTGAGACAATTCTTTCTGCAAAGAACCCTATTATGTTGAATTATGAGGACTGTCAAGGTGATTTATAAGAGAGATTTAGTTAGAGTGTGAACATTTTTGCTAACCAACACAAAACCAGGAATATTTTGGATGAAATTCTGACCTCACTGACGCAGATGTAAATAAAATCACCTGTGAAATTTCCAGCAGAATCTCTCATGCTGTGTGGAAGTATATATGTGCTTATTTATTGTTACAACTGGAATTTTATTCCAGGCTTGGCAATACTGGGATTGTAGCTACAGCTGCAGCTGAGACAGTGCAGAATTTGGTGCAGATGGGTTTTCTGCCAGGGAAATTCAGAAGCCCAAACTGACTTAAGGCTGTTGACTGGAATCCTACCTCGCCTCTTTCAAGACTGCTGCATGGTGATTCAGTTCAGATGTTGATCTGAATAAAAGGTTATCTGCTCTCTCAGCAGACCCACTGACTTCAGAAGGTACTATTGGAGAGTTGGAGTTGACTCTTGCAGTAAGAATGTAAACATGAAAGGCAAGAATAGAAGACCAAAATTGTTCTCTGCTGCTGGAATCTGCACTGAAGTCCATCTGGGATCCAGATCTGGTTGTGATTTTCCTCCAACGTCTGATCATGCACTTTGCATTTAACAGGCACAGAAGTAGTCAGAGCAGCCCAGACCTCCCTTTTCCCCATGAAGTCAGAGCAGACCATAGCCCTCTTGTGCCTTTACCTAATGGAGCAATGAAGGTTGTGCTCCTCTCTTCTTTTGACACAAGTGCTAAAGACCTTTTCTTCTGAAGCTCAGAGTTACAGACATGGGTGAGATACCTCTTGCTTTGAGGAAAGCACTGATCCCAGCACTTCTGTTAAATAACATAGAAATGACAACTATGAGTGCTACAGGATTGCTCTACAATGGAAAGAAACCCCTGCTCATGTCTTTTGGAGGATGTGGGCCCATGTTGCTTCTTCAGGGAGGATTGGGGGGCTTCAAGACCTTCAGTTCTGAGAAGAGAGGGGAATCCTCCCACTACTCTGTGCTAGGTGAAGAACTGATGAAACAGCATGCAGAAGAATCCAGTCTCCCTGTGCAGTGCTACAGGGAATCAGCACTGACTGCTGGATCTTGGATCTCAGATGTCTGGGATCCTGCATACCAGGTGGGTATTATGGTACCTACATCTTTCCGTCAAAAAAGCCCAAGATCCACAAGTGAGCTTAGTGCAAAACTAACAGGGCAATCTATTTAGAACACTGTCATTTTGTTCATTCAGCCTTGGAGAAACTTACCTCTCAGTAGGAAATAGCTGTAATATCCTTTTTTCATGCCAATGAGGTGCATGTTCACCTTCATCCTTAGCCTCTACCACTTCTTATTTCCAAACCTTTCTGGGGAGACAGTAAATGCTTACACTGTTAAACATCGGCAATTTAGGAAGCTAACACTCAACTGGAATTTGAGATGTTAGTTAAAAGTTTGACTCCCTAATCTCTAGTTCTGTTTTTGTCTTCTGCTTGCATCAGGCTGGGCTGTACTTCTGAGGGGGCAAAGCTGAGGTGCAGGGTGGGATGGGAGCAGGACTGCTGTGCTGATGGCAGCAAGTCATGAACATCACACTGTGGTGGGTCCAGATCAGCTCCCTTTGTATTAACCGGTCCATTTTAACAGGGATTTTGGGAGAGATGGACATGGAAAGTGGAGAGGAGAGGAAAGAGGAAAACCCCTGATCCACCAAAGGTTTTCCACTGCAAAGGTACTTCTGTGTTCATATCACTGTCTGTAAAACATACCCACACACAAGCATACAGCATGTGTAAAAAGCCCTTCCCCATTTCCCAGGGGCAAGATACCAATAAATGCATTAAAACTCTCTGATAGATTGGCCCTGGGAGCCTTTAAAATGCTTGGGAGAGATTTTTGAGACTTAACTCCTTTTTTTTAAGTGATGTGGTCTTTCTATAAGGTGTTATTTGGGGGGAGACATTAGACTGAGCTGAAACCCCCTTGCAAATTTGATGTTTTGTGGAAAAATAATGTTCTTTCTGATGAATTCTGACTTTCTGGAGCAGTGCCAACAAAATTCTATTTTATTTATTATTCTTATTTTCTTTCCAAGCTGGGGTTACTGTCAGTGTGCAGTAAAGCTGCTAATAAGCCTCTGTGACAATTTTCTTCCTTTTGAGGCCTTGTTCTCAAAAGTATGACATACCATTGGCTTTTCAACATATAAATGAAATGTTTTTGCTGCTCTTTGATCCACTGTAGTTTCCAAATACCTTTACATTTTCATCAAATGGATGCCAGTGTTCAGCTACATGATTATCAGGTATTCATTTAACCTTTTTGACACACGAAAATGTCAAATCCTTCAAGATACCTTTTTGAATACAAGGCTACAGAACTTCCTCCTAAATTCTGATGTGCCTTAACAACTCTGTGTTTCTGTTGTTTTAAACACTGTATATGACTTTAAAATAAAACCATACCCTGCCTAGTACTGATCATGGCTTGAGTTGAGAGGGACCTTAAAGATCCTTTCCTGCCCTCCCTGCCATGGGCATGGACACCTTCCACTAGACCAACCCACAACCAACCTGGCCATGAACACTCCCAGGGGTGGGGCATCCACAACTTCTCTGGGCAATACAAGGCCTCACCATCCTCTGGGTAAAGAATTTCTTCCTGATATCTAGTCTAAACCCACTCTTTGTCAGTTTGAAGCCGTTCCCCCTTGTCTTGTCACTACATGCCCTTGTAAAAAGTCTCTCTCCATCTTTGTTGTTGGCTCCCTTCAGATACTGGAAGGCCAAAATTAGGTCACCCCAAAGCTTTTTTTCTTTTCCAGGCTGGACAATCCCAATTCTCTGTTTCCTCATAGGAGAGGTGCTCCATCCATCTAATCACCTTGATAGCCTCCTCTGGACTCACTCCAGCAGCTTCATATCTTTCCTGTGCTGGGGACCCCAGAGCTGGAAGCAGCTCTGCAGATGGGGTCTCACCAGAGCGGAGCAGAGGGGCAGAATGATGAACATCTCCTAAAACCTCCCAGCTGCGTAGACTAAGATAGAGTTCCCTCCAATGGGAAATCCCTGGCTGTAGCCAACAGCAGAAGGAACAGGATGTTGAAGAAGCTTTCTGGTAGGCAACTAGTATCCCCCAGCTTAAAAACTTATCTTCTTGTGAGGCATAAAGAACAACTCCTGACATGGGGTATGAACAGACTGTGAACCTTGGGTTTCTGTGGGCAAGGGAAAAAACCTGATCCAATGAACAAAATAGAGCAATGCTGCATAGTTTGGTGTCTGTCCATCATCTCCATCAATGAACCCTTTCTGCAGTGCTGCAAATGGCATTCCCCTTTTTCGAGAAGTCCCAACACATACATAATCTCCAATACATAATGATATTCATATATTCACATCAAGACCATGTCCCCCAAGCTCAGACTCTGGATTAATGTCGCTTTAGAAATTCTGCATTTGAAATACACAATAAGATTCTTCCTAAAAATAAAAAAAAGAAAAAAAATATGCCTGATATGTGTCAGTGGGATGATATATTGCTGCTATATCCCTGCTAAGGGAGCAGGATCAAAAGGGAATTGAACCCACAGGGATGCACAAGATAGCAATTTCTATAGGATCAATGTGTCGTGACAGATTTTACTGCAAAGAAAAAATATACCTCTATCAAGTAACTAGGACAGTTCTGCAGAGGAAAAATGGTGTTCTTTCACTTTAATTTTTTTCAGTCAAGAGTAGATACCTTTCCAAATATTATTGCTTATTTAAAAGAAGAAGGAGAAACTCAGTGCAGCAGTTCCTGGCTGGAAATCATGGTGGTTGGTTACAGTAGTCCCCTCTCAACTTGAAACTCCTGGGTGAGTTCCTGGTTTCACTAGAACAGAAGGGGATGGGATTGTACAACATCAAGTGATGCCTCGTACATACAGAAGATATATACATATATCTGTATTTTATACTAAATCAAAATTTGAAACATAGTTAATTTGTTTTGTATCACTCAGTACAGGAAGAACTCCAGAATCAGCTACAAGAGGCAAGTTCAACTATTATTTTGATGGAAAGTTGTCCAGTAGCATTGCAGATGGATAAAGATAGAAGCTGATGAAATGTTGGAGATGAATCACAAAGGCCAGAGGATACTATCCACAAGGCTTGTTTCTGAACCTGGATAACAGGCTCAGAGCAGGACTCCAAGTAGGGCTGTTAGAGAGGAGGAGCAACGTGGGCTGATTTTTTGAAAAAATGGGCTGAGATTAGCTACACCTCTGCATTTAGTGTCAAAGCAAACCTTCTCAGTCTGGGACTGTAGTAGGACATATTTTCATACACTGGCATATTTACAGTCATGGAAATTACTGTCTAGGTTTGAAGAAAAGTGTATAAAATGTGTTGCAAATGCAGTCTGTATTTGCGTGTGTATGTGTATATATATATGCATATATATACACATAAAATTTGGTTTGCATTGGCTATATGGTGTTTAAAACACCTGAACATGAAATGCATGCACATGGGGCATTTGGATCACTGGCAGCTGTTTTGCATGAGAGTGCATCCAGTAAAAAGGGAACTACAGAGGAGCTAAATTCAGCAAAGGAGACATGAATTTTCCTACAGGCTTTGACGAGATAACTTGACCTATCTTGGCCAAAATGAGTGTAAGTCTGTGTGCATCATCTTTACAATCAATAAAATGGAGATGTAGCAGCATGCTCTGTGAATATAACGAACTCTACAGTGACCAAAACCTTGATATCAGAGTTAGGAGGCTCAGTATGGATTTGTGCTGCATGGTCTTAAGGATGAGTAAAGGACACACTACTGACTCAAAAAGAGGATTAGAACCTTCTCGTGCCTTTCATTGCTCCAGCAGGACATTGCTATTGGTGAAGCCTCTGATTAAGAAGCGGTACTTGAGAGATAACAAATTTTCAGTGATTACCATGGGAACCACAAATGCTTTCATAAGGGTGGAGAAATTATAAAAAGTTCTAATTGAGAGAGATGAGGTTTAAAACAGTTTCTATGGAAACCAGAGGTGGCATCCAAAAAAAGTGTGTGTACTAATCTGATAGCCTGATTGGCAGGTAATTGGTGCAGTGTTGGAATGAGGAAGCCTTGAGATGTGAGATGAAGTGTCCATCACACAAATAAAAAAACATATAGCCTTCTGAAGAAGAGCTGGAGCTTCAAGCTCTTTCCCTCCCAGTAGAATACACTCATCACTCAATTGGTGATTCATTTTCATTCTTGTCTCTGTACTAAGTGACTTTCTTTTTTTTTTTATTGCAGTGTGATAAACTTCAACAGAGGTGATGGATGGAGCTGCTCCCTCACCTTTTCCAAAGGGTAGAAGTCATGAAGGTGCTTTTATGGACAGCAGACATGAGCTCCAGTGTTTCTTTTCTCAGGCAGAAAAGAGAAATGAACACAGACTTCCAGCCTTCAGTAAGAGCTCTGAACAGTTGGATGAGATGCTTGCCTGCGTTTTCTAGGACTTCAGGTTCTTCTGACTGACTGGCCAGTATCCAGCTAAGCTCGTTTCACAGAGTTCAGAAGTTCTGAAATACTTTTACTGGTCAGATCACAATGGAAATCCCACAAACACAATGTCTGATATGACACGTGAAGTAACCTTCAGGCATACAGTAAACCAGATAACCTGGTGTTTCTATCTACCAGAACTATTTGCTTTTAGAGCAAGAGGAAAACTTGTCAAAAGAGTTTTGCGGTAGATATAGGATGAGCAAATCCAATCTTTTCTCTCTTTCGTGGGGCTACAGCCCAAGTACATTATGATATCTTTCAGCTTGATGACTGAAGAAGGAAAATATTACTATTGTCAATAAATTAGATAAATAGCAGGCCTTTGGCCAGCTGCAAGTTGCTGAAGTCCTCAGCAAATTCTTTGCCAGCTCAGTGGTTTGGCAGACACGTATTTTCCTCCCGTATTTTCTGAGCTCACCAAATTTATTTCTCTATTCAGCAGATGTAGACAGAAAAACCCACATTTAGAAACATTTTAGAACTATTTTATGGATCTGAGGTGTTCGGGAAGAAGATAATACTTTCTGTTAAAAGATCTAGAAGGCTTATCTGCAATCTCTGTGATATCGGGGTTCATGGTCCACCAGTGCTATCCACAGGAATGATCTAAAGGAAGCATTGAAAAAATATTAGGCGAAAAATCATCCCCTTAACCTAGTTTAGATTAATCCAGGGTCAGACATCACTCTGTTTTATATATAGGACTAAGATTAGGTGACTCTTATACGTAACACACTTCTGCAAAACAGTGCAGTGTCTGCCTGGATAATAAGCTTAAGCTGTAACCTTTGAAAGATTCTGTCTTTATAGTGTGATAAAAGGTTTGTTTTCCACAGATTGAAGGGCTCAGAGAAGCTATGAGGAACGTGGTGACATACATTTAAAGAAGACTCTTAGAATAATGCAAAATTAATAGTTATCATGCTGCTCAAGGGGCTCTCAGGTGGTCACCCTGCTTCATGGTTCAGTAAATCCATCACTGCTGATACCACATCTTCTTTTTAACAGTATTTCACAAAAAATGGGGAAGTGAACTAAATGGAGCAGCTGAAGAAAACGACAGATGTAACCCAGTGCAAGAGCACCCAGGGCTCCATCCTGCTCACTCAGCCTAGGTAACTTTATTGTGTTTTTCCTCTCAAAAACTCTGCATTTTTGAATTGTCATGTATGTTTTCATTCCCATTGCTGCCAGTGGGCAAGGAGACAACCAGAGAAACAAGCTGGACCCAGCCATGCTTCTGGTTGAGTGCTTGCACATCTGCTGTTTTTCTGATTCAGTGATGGGTGGTGTTGGTCTATGCCCTCTCTATTATGTACCATGAAAAATTTTCTGGCAACTGAATCATTAATACATATTTAATTTAATTTTATTCCATTTCAGGTCTTGCAACTGCACTTCTCAGAAAAGCTGTCCATGTGGGGGAAGGTGTGCAATAACCTGATTTATACATGTGTTCAATAGATAGCAATAGTAAAAGTTTCTGGTTCACACAGGTGAACATTTCTGTGCGGGTTCTGCAGGTGGTGCTTCATCCTTTCCAGTACAACATTTCAGTAGTGTTAAGCCCCTCTGGAGACTCTCACATTTTTTTCTATGCAAAGAAAATGTTCCACTAACTGAAGAAATATCAGAACTCTGTAGGTGCAAGAAAGACATCAATCTTCTGTCATCAGGGACAGAAGACATAATTTACCATTTTCAGGGGCCTACAGGAAAGCTGGAGAGGGACTTCTGACAAGGTCAGGGAGTGATAGGACAAGGGGAAATGGCTTTAAACTGAAAGAGGGCAGGTTAAGATTGGGAAGAAATTCTTCCCTGTGAGGGTGGTGAAGCACTGGAAGAGGTTGCCCAGAGAAGCTGTGGATGCCACATCACTGGAATTGTTCAAGGCTAGGTTGGATGGGCCTTGGAGCAACCTGGAATAGTGAAACATGTCCCTGCTCATGGTAGGGGGTTGGAACAAGGTGATCTTTCAACTTCCTTCTAACCCAAACCATTAAATGATTCTGTGATTATGTGGAATCAACAAACAAGAATAAACACTGGGTCAAGATTAGACCTAACTAAATGAAGGAAATTTTGCAGGGCCTAGTCAGAAGATGCTTGGCCTATGAAGATTCGGAAATGCTTGAGCATGTGCAGAGCAGGCTTTTATTTTACTTAGGAGCGATGTTTTGAGAGTGGAATAATACTTTGCTTGAAAACATAACTGTGCTGCTCCGTAGGGGTCAAAAATACAAATCAGATTTTGGAAAAAGGAGCTGACGTCATAAAAGAGAACTTTGTCCTGTCTATGTGACTCCACATTGCTAACATCCTTATGGCTGTATGGAATTGTGTCCCGTCTGTCTCAAAAACGTACAGTAGAACTGAATGTCATGGAAAGGGTGACACAGCAAGGGATAACTGTTTGAGGCGTGATTAGAAGACTAAGAGTCTTCTCCCTCAAAAGGGAACAGCAGAGGAGGAATTTTAAAGAGGCCTTTTAAAACCCGAGTGGTATGGAAAAAATGATAGTTTACTTCATGTCCTCTTTCAATACAAGGGCTAGGGCATAATAATGAAACTATCGGGCTGCAGATTGCAGGTCCAGAGCAAACAAGAGGATGCAATCCCTTGTGTAATGTATAATTAGGTTTTGAAATTTCTTCCCAGGGGATGCTGTAGATGCTAAAAGTTTATGTGGGTTCAAGAAGCGATTAGGCAGATTCATAGAAGAAAATATATGCTAAGAACTATTAAATGCATGCACACAATGCCTGTCTCAGGAATTCCTAGATGACAATTCACAGAAGCTGGGCAATGTTAGCACATTCTGACTTAATTCTTTCTCTTTCTTAGGAATCCTCTTCTGGCCAATGTCAGGGATGGCATAATGAGCAGAAGGAAATTTGGGATCCACCTGAAAAAGCTGTTGCCTCATGAAAAGAAGTGGACTTGTAAAGTGGTGTAGATGTGAGAAAGATAAGATGAATGTGGAGCAGAAGAAGGTGACACAGGACAATGATGATCCACTACTGAGAAATGCAGAAGTACCAGGTCAGGTCTCAGAGCACTGCTTACTTCTGCTTGAGTTGGAAATCACAAAAAAATACACTGCAAGCCCTTCAGAATTCTTGGTAGCATTGTGAATACACAGTCTAATAGATTAATGCTTTACTGCAATTTTTGAAGCTCAGCTAAAGGCATAATTCAAAGACCCTGATGTTTAGGTGGTAAGTAGTCCCATCCCTGTTCAGTAATGTCATGAAGTCCAGGAGTAAACAGGATCCTGTGAGGAAATTCAGTTGAAAAGAGTTCACATCCAGATGTTTGTGGGATCCATATATCCAATGAAGAAGTTTTACTGAGTTTCTTTTTTTGTTGTTCTGTTTTTATCTCTCTTTTAGATCACAGTGCAACCTGTGAGTCCCAGAATACAACTTGATGATTTTTGGCATCATTAGAATCATAGAATCAAGTGTTGGAGGAGAACAGAGTAAGAGCATTTGTAAGACTTAAAGTCCTCATGTATCCATGGTTTAGATAGAACTAATGCTTTTAAAATACAAAACAAGACTTGTTTATAGTTTTGGTCTGAACTTAGTTGTTATTTAGGCCTTAATGACCTAGTGATGCCATTATAGATATTTCTGAAGATTTAAGTTAAATGCAAAGAATTTAGATTTTATTAAAAAAAAAAAAAAGGAAGAGAAAGGGAACGTGTGTCCACCATAAAAGCAATGATAAATCAAACTTTAAATTAAATGGTGCCAGTTCTATTTGCAGACATGCCAACAGTTACATGAGAATTAAGTCAATATGCATGTTCCTGAAGATTGCTTACAGTGATTTGCTTGCAGAGTTTGCAAATATAGTGATTTCCTCATTTGTTGAATGACAGCTGATACAGTAGCCTGGCTAATATATCAATCTCCCTTCCTCCAAGCTCTGAGGTAGGGTACCATTAATGGAGTATATAGAACAGGCAATGCTGGGAGAATAATTTGCCATCAATGATGGCATATCAGCATTCTCTGATAAATGCTACCTTTCTCTTTTTTTTTATTTCTGTTCACAAATTGTCCATGAATAGGCTATGACTGAAATCATGTGCTGAAGCTGAACAATTTCTACCACTGTGTCTCCATCTACCATTAACTGTTTTCTATGAATGTATGATTGACTGAGGTCAAGCAGCTTTGGTTACACATGCTATGTGGATTTTTTCTTTTCCATTGTTGGGAGGCAGGAAATCTAAGAGTAAAGTCTTCTGGAAAAACAGCTGCAAAACCAAATAGTGAATCTGCCTGCTGATTGATTCAATTATATTTTGCTGTGTAAGCTTTTTGAAGTGCATTACGTGTTCCTTTCCAAAAAACGTTATTCACAAAGAACCTGGTAGCTCTTCACCTCAAAAGTTGAAGAAACTCATGGGCTCAAGTATCAAAACCTTCAGATCCATCTTCTGTGCCATTTAAAGTGAAAAGAATTGCTCTTTGTCTTAGCAGTATGGGCAGTAGTTTTTTTCCTATAAATATATTTTAGAATCAAGGGTTACTATAGGATGGAAAGTACCTCTGAAGGTCTCTAGTTGAACCTCCTGTTCTAAGCAAGACTTATTTCGAAGTTGGGTCCCCTACAACAGAATTTAATATATCTAAGGATGGAGATATCACAGCCTGTCTACCAATCCTCATTGTGAAAAATGCTTTGTTGCAAATAGCAGAAATTTCCCTTTTGGCAACTTGTGTCAGCTGCTTCTTGTCTTTTCACTCTGCACCCCTGAAAAGAATCTGTCTCCATCATTTCTATAAGCACACAGCAGGAGTTACTAAAGTTTTTTTCTTTAATAAGGGCAAATATGAAACACTGAAAGCAATAATTGTCTAGGTAAGATTATGTGTGAAGGTGAGGTACTTACAAAATTAATAATTGGGATATTAGCTTCTAATGGCAAAATTCTTCAGCACAGGTGTCATTGTGATAGGACACATGAAAACATAAAAGTAAAGAAAGCAAACAGACATATTTAATACATAGGTTAATTTCTATGTCTGTAATGTTTCTTGTTACAGTAAGTTCTCCTTCTCTCCTCCAAAGCACCCAGCCCTAACCCCAACTGCCAGTTCTGTGCAGGCATGCAGTGCTCACAGAACCTGTCTCAAATATGTGTGACTTTCTGCAATTTACCAACACTTTCATGGCGTTAAAAGATTCCCATACAGGATATCATAGGAATGGAAGGAAAAATACCACCATGGCCCATTGAAACTGCAGTGCATTTCTTCTGTGAGAAGCAAATCTTTTCCATTGGCCACAGCATAGGTAAAGTAATATCAGGATAAATTCAGAGTGGTTTGCAGTAGTCCCTGAAATACTTGTAATTGCCAAGGAGGATTTTTCAGATAAGATTAACATAGACATTGGGGATATAAAGCCACAGTGTTATGGCCTTTAGTGATACTGACTGTTACACTCTGCCTCCTTGCTGATGCTGCAGCCCTGAGGGACAAGGTTTGCTAATGCTGCTTTAGGGCATGAGGGTGGTGGTTTTCCATCCTCCTGAAGGCAGCATGAACACTAAGTTCAGATGTCCAAGGGGCTTCTCAGCTCTCAGTCCCAGCTCCCCTTTTGCACACTGGGAACAGGAAGACTTCAGTATGGTCATTAATATTCAAATTTTTCTGTGTAAAATTAGTTTTACCCTTTATGGGGCACACTTGGGCAAGGATAACAAATCCCTCAGAAGGCACACAGTTCAATTATTGCAATCAGCACTGAGATCTTAATTTTTGAAAAGGCAAGAATATACCAGTATCAAGTGGTTCATTTCTGCAACAGCAAAGAATAAAGCAACTGTTAAATACCAAAGCCCTTATTCTCCTGTGTGTGCTAACCTAGCCCTTCAAGAAAATTTTCGGCACATGTGTGTCACTAATCAGACCCATTCTCATTACAGTACAGCTGTTTTAGTGCCTTTCCATAACCCTCACGGATCTCTCCCAGGCACTGAGTCAATACAGTGATTTTAAATGAATGCAGCTCATGTATTAGGACTCTTGTGGTAGGTCTTGTGGGAGAAAAAGGAGGTCACAGGAAGAGCAGTGCTGCTTGCTGGCTACTCATGGGTGGTGGGATCTCTATTAAAGATCTTGAATCTGTTTTAACCAACATCGTGAGCAAAGGGCCACCCATAGGACCAGGAGGGCAGGAAGGTAGGTTGAAGCAGCCCTGGTTCATACCAGACAGTTGTTGTGCTGAATTCAGATGTCTGGAACAGGAACTAAGACAAATTGTGTGATCTTGTTGAGTGCAAGTGCTGGAATACCTGGCCCCAGATACTTAAATTACAGCAACTGGTGTAAAACATTCTTTGCTGGCTCAATGGTGATAGATGATTTCAGTTAGGTCCAGAGCTAACTGGTATCTATTCCAGCTGATGCTGGCATATGTTAAGTGCTGGGCACCTTCAGTGCTGATGTTAAATTATACTAAAAGAGGGGTTCTGTTAGCAGTCCGGCCATTGACTTTAATGAAATAGCTAATTTGATAATTTTAATTATGCGTTGAGGCAAAGCAAGAGCATAAATGTTAAAATATCATTTCATGCCAGTAGAGAGAAAAGTTGACATTTACCTAAACCAAGGACTAGATTGCTGAGAATGAAGGAGAGAGATAATGAGCAAATGCAAAGGAAAATAGGAATGAAAAGGTGAGACAATCTGAAAGCTGACAAGACACTGGAAGGACATGATCTGAAGCAAGAGAGGGCTGGAGAAACCTTCGGGTGGGAAG